GCCATGAGCCAGGGATGGTCGGGCTCCGACTCCCTCCCTGGTGCCCTGAGAACGGTGCTCAAGGAGCCGTTCCTGCTGTAAATCATCCTGCATCCAAGTGCATCCTCACCCAGCCTCCCCACTCATCCTCTCTCCATCTCCTCCCCGCCTCCGTGGTTAAAATCCACTCCCCACACTCCACTACACCTCCTGGAAGTAAATGTAGATTTTTGGAGCTGAGCGCAAGGCTCAGGTGGCATTCCAGCATGCCAGGACTTAACTGCATTTGTATCTATTCTCGATTATACGATTTTTCTTAAAAAAAAGACGCAGTACATCAGTGAAATTCCTTACGCTGGGCTAAGGATTCGGGAGGCACAGTTGCCATGACAGCCCCTCGGCTCCTGCCGGTCTCGCTGTTCATCTGCTTCTTCCAGCACCAGCGTTTGCCCCCGTCTGCGTCATCGCGGAGCCTAAACCACCACCTGAGCTGGTGCCCGGTTTCCCAACTCCCCCTTGCCAATGGGACGGGGTGGCAGGCTCTTGGTTTGCTGCTTTCCACTCACCTTTGGATAAATGCAGCCATGAGAGAGCTCCAGAGGCACCCATTGCACAACCCCTCCCTTTGGAGACAGGACCGTGCTCTCCTGTGCAATGTCCAAACAAAGCGATTCAGGAGCACGGAAGGGAATTTTTTCCAAGGCTCTCGGGTACCTCCCACATTAACTAATCCTGCTTTTCCTTATGGCTTGGACTGGACAACAACGCAGCCACCGCAAGGAGGTTTTGCCTCTGCTGTCTCTGTTCTCTGGCGAGTTTCCAGGGAAGTCAATGCAATATTAATCCCCGGTGCTCGGTCCCCTTGGAACATGGATGAATGTTCAAAGACACTGAAAGGCTCCATCAGAATAAAGATGGGCATTTTAGCAACACAAAGGAGCCGGGATGATTGGCAGATTGAGAAAGCGGCGCAATCAGAAAGCGAACAGTGAGGGGAGACACAATAGCACAGAAGCAAACCCCCCAGGGGCACGCTGCCCTGTCCTCCCCTCCATCCCACGCCTGCAAGGAGCCGCGTGCTAAGCACGACACGTCATAAAGATTACAGCTAATTAGGAGGACATGTGGAAAGAACAGCTCCATGCCTAAATCTTAGATGAAGCCAACCGAAACTGGGCACCATCTGAATCCTAAAGAATCCCTCATCCCACACCGACACACGCAGACCTAAGACAGCACTGCCAGAAATACCAAAGGAAATTCCAGCCACTAAAACCCAGCAGGACCTGTGCTCCTGCCAGTCTTTCCAGATTCTTCCAAGGCAATAACTTCTTCTGAGGCTGGGCTGTGCCTTTACCCAGAGTCCAAACACTTTGACAGCGGTAGGCTTTGCACAGATGCTTTTTTTTCTCCCCCCTTCCCTCCTGGCTCATCTATTCCCAAGGCTTGGATATAAGACGAGCACCCTCCTTATATCCCCCCTTGGATATAAGCGGAGCTGCCCACCTGCAGCTCCAAGCCTGTTCTCAATAGGGATGAAGCAGAATTACAACAGGTTTTTATTTTTACCATGTTCTCCTCAGCCCTCCCTAAGGCTCCCGGATCCCTGTAACGATATGTTCTCCTGCTCTCACCTTGGCACAGCGGGATCGCCTCGTTCCAGTGGAAGTAGCCCTGGGGGTGCTGGGCGCAGGTGGTGGTGCTGTGCCCGCCCGGGCGGTAGCCGGTGTCGCAGCCAAAGCGGACGGTGCTGCCGGGGGTCAGCCCGGTCTGGCTGAGAATCAGCCCGTGGGCTGGCGGCTGCGGGAGGCTGCAGTAAGGAGCTGGAGAGAAGGGCAGAGGGAAAGAAATCAGTCACTGGATGGGTTGGGTCAAGACCAATTCCCTTCCTGTTCTCAGGAATTCACGGTGCTTCCCATACCCAAAGGCTGCACAAGAAATAGAGAACTTGTGATGGATAAATACAGAGTCAAGGGGGAAAGTGTGCAGGGCTGCTATTCACTCAGGTCTAGAAACAGAGAGTCATTTCTGATCATTAAATATTACTTAATTCATTTACTGAGTAAAGTCATTACTTATCTATGGCACACCGGCAAATTCTCAACCCAGTTCTGTAACTTCCATTAATTAAGATTTGCTAAGTTCCAAACCACAGTAATTCATTTCAAGGAATTCTCAGCAAACACTCGGTATCCAGCAGCAGTTTTGTGCTGAACGAGCAGCCGAGCCTCCCCGGTCCTGCTCCTGCGAGAGCAGCAGCCGAACCCCTGCGCAGGGGCACGACGAGTTCCGAACAGTTCACCACGAATGCTGCAACAGGACCAGCCGCGTGAAAGCTGTGCCTCACGCACCCAACAGCTCCTAACACAAGTTATGTTTTGTGATGTCAGTCTTTAAACATCCCACACCAGCCTCATTGCAAGGATGCTGCCATTTAGTAACGCAGCAATCGTTCTTGTGAATTGCATGGGATGGGTTTAACGCATCCACACCATCATTTCTTCTGGTTCTGATTCTTAAGAGCAGTCGAGAACCCAGCCAAAGCTTCAAGGTTTCTGCTGGAAACAAACCCGCCTTTCCCAGCCCCACCAGCTCAGCATGAGCCCGGCCTTGGGCGCCTTCCCAGCCCTTGGCAGCCTGTGCCGACGCAGATGGCCCGCGCCCTCTGCAGCGATTTCCTGGAGACCCTCCCTGAAGAGACGGCCGCGTTCTTGGCAGAGCCATCCAGGCTCCGCTGTGCGCTTACCGGAGTAGCGGATTTTGAAGCCTTTTCTGCTGTAGGCATGATCAGAGGACCAGCGGAGGTAGACCTTGTTCCCGCTGCTGGTGACGGTCAGCGGGGCAGAGTAGTTCCCGCTCAGCGACAGGAGCAGGGGACTCTGGCCAGAGGGACCTGGGGGGATGGAGGGAACGAGGGAAAATCAGGGCTTGCATGGATTCGTGGGATTTACGTGCCAGGGTGTTTTTCTGCAGAAGGAAGAGGCACGTCGTGGAACGGCAGCGCAGGAGATTTCAGCATCACCCCGGAACGGCAGCTCATGCTCAGGGCTTTTCTGTGAACACGAGTCCCAGGGCAGGCACCCGGCTCCTGGGAAACCAACAGCAAACGAAGCCCAGCTGATGGCAGTAAGATGAGGATTTTGCTCCAGGCAGCATGCCTTTGGCTCCAGTCCCCACGGGCAGCCCCAGGAGCATCGGCAGAGCGCTTGTGCTCCGCGTCTGGTTACAAAGCTGCATCATTGCGAATATCGACAGATCCCCTCCCAGTTCAGGAGAGCTCACAGAAACTGGTGTGCAGGCTTCAGGGATGAGCAGTGCCCCCCTCCCACCTCACCCCTTCCCAGCTGCCTCTGCAACGATTTCTCCCAGGAGCTTGCTAACTCCTGCCTTTTGGAAAAATACTTTCGATCCATCCAAAAATCAAATCATTGATATATGCTTATCCAGAGAATCAATGAGCCTTAGGAGGAGCTTTCCTTAAGCCCAGCAGAAGGTTATGGGTGCAGCAGTGGAAAGCCCTCCCCATGCTGCTCTGGGAACAGGATTAACGACCGACACCGCTGCCATTCCTGCCCTTCCCCCTCCGCTGTACGCAAGTCAAACTGGTGGATCTCTTACCGTCAAAGATCTCAAACTCATCGTACTGCTTCTCGCTGAGGAAGTACTCGATGGTGAGGGAGATGTTGTAGCCAGGCTCCACCTTCACCACCCACGAGCAGGTCTGGAAGTGGGGGTAACTTCCCACGAAGCTCTGGCTGAGGATGACACCGGTGGAGTCCGTCATCACCTCGTTCATCGGGCAGTGCACTGCAGGAACGCGGAGGAGAGACAAGAGAAAATGCATTTTCCTGTTTTGCAGAGGAAGGATGGACACACAAGATACTACGGCTAAGGAGGTCCGCCTTGATGAACCAGGTCAAGAAAGAGCAAAATTCCCACCGTGTGCACCCATGGGGCTCACAGAGAACCCCCAGACCCTGACGTAGGCTCTGAAGGAAGCACGTTGTGTTTCCACAAATCCCAGCAATCGCCACATGTAAAGGAAGGGGCAAAAAGCAACAACACAAACAACTTCGTACTGTCTCACCGCATTTCACATCTCTTTCAAAATGAACGGCGCTGCAACCAAGCAACTATTCTCGAGTTACAAAACACTCCGCAGGAATCCCTGGAAACTTTATTACTTGGGTTAGAACAAGGAGTGGAACCACGGGCTTATCCCAGGTCACCCACAGAGCTGTTAACCAGGACCTAAGAACTCCAATGCCCTTCCTCTAATCGCTACCCCCCATTCAGCTTCTGGAAATATCAAATCCACCTAAAAACGCTAAATAAAAAGGCCAGCAAAAACAGCCCAGAAGAGGAGGCAAACACCCAAAGCGAGCAAAAGGCATGAAAATAAAGGGATCTTTATTTATCCATAATTGTCAGTGAAGCCCAGTGCAAACGCTGTACTTGTATTAATAGAAACCAGCCAGAACTATCCAGAAAGAACAGTGTATTCTTTCCAAATCCTTAATCCCCTCAGTGACTTTTTGACCTCTATAAATTGGTGGCCAGATGTAATTTAAGCAGTCCCTTTACCCTCAGGCTAACAACCATCAGTAAATAATTGAATGACCTCTCTTTCCTTCCTTCAGTTCATGCTATTTCAGAGAGAATAAAGCTACAGAAAAAATATCCCATTATATGGTAAAAATGTTCAGATAGGAGGGAATGAAGGAGACGAAATAATCACGGCTGGAGTGAACAAAAGCACCAGCA